TCATTGTGAAAACATTAACTGTTGTGAAACTGTCTAATAATAATAATAATAATAACTTTACACAGAAATGTTATTTACATTCATTCATTTATTCATGCTTGATGTAGAATTGGAAAATACATTTCTTAATTGCCAAAATGCTCAATTGACAAGAAAACAAATGCCCCAATGCAATGAATGTCCAAAAAGGTCTCCATTGCCTTTAAGCAAAATAACATTTATTACTTCCTTCCTTTTAATTACATGATAAAATATGACCAGGGACTGTTCTTGTCAGCTTTCATGAGATCCACTCAATCTTCCATCCCCTTGATTTTTTTCCTGTATACACAAATGTGTGCTCCCTATTAACAGAACAAAACCCACACCTCACATGCACACACTCCTCGATAAATAAACATGATCTCCCACACACCACTACAGTGTGGATCAGAAAGCAGCTTTTATCTTCTTATGACCCCAGAACACATTTCACCTTGATGATAGAAGCAGATACCGTAACGTTTCTGTCAGGATGCTAGCTGGCGGCACTGATGCATCCTGGGAGATGATGTACAACGTGCCGAAGCCAGCGCTTCTTGGCTTCTGACGGCAGATGACAAAGAGCCCGAGGTGCTACACGCTAATGTGCGCTAGTAATTGCTAACGAGGGAGATCGGGGCATGATTTATTTTTGCAGTAATGAGCATCCATCCTTGCTATCTGCTCCTCACATTTAGCTTGAATTTCATCACCTTGAACTCCTGCAAACAAAAACATTATTTCCCCGTCTTCTCTCACTCAATCCTGTCTCTATGATTTAACAATCAAACACTGAGATTGTAAAGTGGCTGCCGCGAGGTCCGTGGAGGGAGGGGAAGAAAAAAAATACAAAAATACAAATTGTGCCCTGACAAAAAAATAAACTTTAATGAATTCCCCGGTGCCCTTATTTAGCGGTGCATCTGAGTCACTGTTAGCCTCGCATTTGCTTGCTAATCTCTGGCAGTGAGCTTTTAGAGGTACATGTGAAGATAAATTACAGGATCCGCTCGTGTTTAGAGACTCGTTCCACTAATGCTGTTCTTGACCCTCAACGATTCGACAACAAAAACACAAAGCCATTATTTCCAGATACACCACACCCCCTCCTACAACACGACTTGAGAGAACATCTAATAAATACCTCTAAATTCGAATGTGTTTGCAGCAAGCAGGGGTTGACGTGGTTGTGTTTGAATAAAGGTCACATGTCTTAATAGATGATCATTAAACTCTGCGTGCTTTAAAGCATGTGAGTTACTCATCCTGCTCTAAGCAAGTTGGCTGAATTCTGTGATTCATTTTGAGAAAATAAATAATTTAATAAAGAAAGGGGAAAAAGAGAGAAAGGAGAGAAAGCATGCTTCATTTCCCAGTTGCCTGGATTTATTGCTTAATAGCACTAATGAAGCTAACATGGTAATTAATGCAGTCAGACACAGGGGTTTTAAAGTTGCCCCTCCCTGCCACTTTCAGAACAATAGCACATAATGGGAGACATTTTACTTACACTCTTAAAAATAAAGGTGCTTCAAAAGGTTCTTCACAGCGATGCCATAGAAGAACCATTTTTGGTTCCACAAAGAACCATTCAGTCAAAGGTTCTTTACAGAACCATCTCTTTCTTACCTTTTGTAATCTGAAGAACCTTCTTTCACCACAAAGAACCTTTTGTGAAACAGAAAGGTTCTTCAGATGTTGAAGGTTCTTTATGGAACCACTTAGACAAAAAGGTTCTTCTATGGCATCATGAAGCACCTTTATTTTTAAGAGTGTACTTGTCCTATTCTGGCATGAACATGTGCAGATGGGAAATTCAGAGTCGTAGAGGGAAAACAGGAAGTGATATTTCAGGTTAGGGCCTCTGAAATTGGTTAGCTGAGGATAGCTGAGCATCCCATGACACAGATCCAGGTGTCTGCCAAATGATCGCTCTTACACTCATTACTCCTAGCACTGGCGAGACCATTAAGATGAACGTCAGGAAGAATAATTTATATCACACAACTCTGACTTTATATCTCGCAATTCTGACTTTAAAACTCACAATTGAGAGTTTATATCTCACGATTCTGAGAAAAAAAGTCAGAATTGTGAGATGTGAACTTGCAATTGTGAGGAAAAAAGGTGAGAATTGTGAGATAAAAAGTCACAATTACCTTTTACTTTTCTTTTTCTATTTGTTATTTCTTTAATTCAGTGGTGGAAACGGGCATCTATAAGGGTGTGTTAAATTTAGTTAATATGATTTTTCCCTGACCTTGATGAAACAGTATGATTGAGTACATATGTGTGTATGTATTTAAGCAAGCAAGGACCTGTGACTCATGCAGAATTAGACTAGGGACATTTATGAAGTATATGTATTCATTGTCTAAATGCTGGGCTTCTCATTAATGGGCTCTACCTCATGATTTATGCTAAATTAATATCTTGAGAAAACCCAAACCATGTATCTGTTTCTCACCCTCCTTCCCCATGCTCCCCTCATATTCTTCATCTCAGTTCACTCCTCACAGAGCTCATCAGATAAGAAATTTGCACATTACAGTTGCCAGGTTGAGTGTAATGGTGCATAAAGCGGCAAAGGCCTCTTTCTATTTAGATAGCACATATGCGCTTAAGCCCTCTGAACTGTCACAGACAGTGAATGCTGACATAAAACACAGACAATTAAACAGCACAGCAGAGGGCCATCGATCGGTCACTGTAGAAGCTTCTTTGGATTCATTAGTGCTTCTTAAAAGACAATTACCCCTGCAGTGGCAGTGGAGATTAGGGCCACAGTAAACGGTCATGATCCCTTTATGATCAAGGACTGAGTCTGGGAACCAAGTCTCTGGGGGCTTTAATGACATTACCATGCTTACAATTGCACAATTCAGCCCAAAACACTTAACATAAAGATGTAATACAAAATGTAATTGTCTCATTATTATCATACATTTTACCATACAATTTCAACCAAAATAAATAAATAAATACATTTTAAGTTAAAGCTTTGAAAAAAAAAAACTGAAAAAAATACTTGCATACTGAACTGTAACTGGTCTGGTTTCTTGCATCTACTCGCATACTAAATACTGATTGATTGATTCATTAATTAATTCACAGTGTATGGTTTTGCATTGTGTCTATATAAATATGAACTAATTGGACACCTACATCACATGAACTGTCAAGTTAAAAGAAGTATTTTTTTATAGCTGCATCTCAAGAGCCTTTTGTTCTGTTCCATGCATTAAGACATCAACAATTCTCATGAAGTACTGAGTTCTACGACCCATAATGCCCTGCTTTTAGCACTTCACATTGAGACTTTGCACTTCAAGTTCATGTTTTGCCTAGTGTAACGATTTACAATAGCAAGGAAGGCAGCGACTCATCTGTGAGAGAACTTTTCAGAAGTACTTTGCTTCCAAAGGCATTCTGCCTTTTGCTCCACTGGCTCAAAGATGAGCGTGATTTCAAGTGGAAAAATACAACGATACGGGGCTGTTGCGCTGTTTACAGTGGGTATTAGGGTGTAAAAGAAGCTAAAGAATTAGGCAGAAGGGGATGAGTGGATGGGGATCTATTCATTTTTCAAGGCGTTTTAACTTCTGCGGGTGAACAATCAAAAGAGGGGGAGAACGCAGCACACGCCGACCAAGAGCAACTTATCACCAGCTTGTTATTCCGTGCATACCTGTCGAACAGCTGGGGATAACATTAATATTTATAGAAACCAAAGACCAGGGAGGATTTACCATACTTTTAAAATCCATTTTCCCCACTTAATGCCCTTATCAGGCTCCCACTTCCCTCTTTCTTTCAGAAGCATTTATATCAGTTACTTACTGCTGTACTGAACCGAAAGGTTTGGAGGCTGGGAGCTGAAGGAGAACAAGGGAGCAAACACATGCCCTCCTTTTCAAATTCCCTTTCAAAAAAAAAAAAAAAAAGCTGTGCCGAGGTGCAAACACAGGTCAATTCCAAGTTTGCAAATGCATTCGACAGGGGTGTTCCAAGGGGTCCACAGCAGTACTGCAGGCGGCCCGTCAATTATTGATTAATCTCAAACTATTAAAATATATTTACACACACAAAATACAAAACTCCAACCATAACTATAAGTTAAAAAAGGTAAAGTTCAGCTAAATATTTAATTTCCCTCCACTTTAGAAATATATGACTCTATGCATCAATATTAATTATGTAATGGGTTTTCAATGTACCATCATAAAGTATGTTCATACATTAATATGGCACTGTAAGAATGCAATAATATGCAAGGCTTATGTGTGCAAGTCAGCACTGCATTTAAGTACAGAGTAGGGGTGTGGCGAGATGCCACAATCACAAATAAAACGTGAGCGCACATTCAAAAACGATTTCAATACCCCGCATTTTAAGAGCAGCTCCCTGATGCGAGTAATACAAAATCTCAGAAAATCAAACATATCTTAGTTACTTCTAGAAATGCAATTCCATATCCAATTCTGCATAGCTGTAAAATATTTGTTTGTTTTACATTTACAATGCTTTGTAGCGCACAACACGACTTGCTACTGGATATTTCACAAGCTATTCCTGTCATGATCAAAAATGCATTCAGTGAACATGCAAATAAGGTGGCAACCATAAAACCATGTGATCAATTAAAAGAGCAGAGACACAGTCATGCTTGCCATAAACAAATGCCAGACATAGGGAGAAGGAAGTATAGAGAGGGGAAAAGAAGACAAATAAATTACAATCTGCATGGCAGTTGCCAGTACTGATGTAGTTTGTCAAACAGGCAGGCTAGTTGAACAGTGCAGAAAAGTAATTGACTTTAGTCCTACAGCAGTCAGTAGGATAATAATTAAATGCAGTTCACCAATTGACACAATTACCAAACCTTCCAGTTTAGCCCGCCGCACACCTTCCCAACCTTTCACACCATGTGTGTGAACTAGGGCTGGGCGATAAATCGATAACGATAATTATCACGATGTAATTTTCCTCGATAAAACGATATGAAGAGTTCGATAAATGTTCGATATAATGTTCATGAGCCAAAAGCGGAACGAAAGAGCGCGACTCAGTTGAATTGCGGCACACGGACCGTTTATTCGCTCAGCTCAAGGTTCAAAACAGCAGCGCAGCACGAGTTTACCAGCAGATGCGTTTACTCGCTGACGAGTCTCGGTCATGCAAGCACTAAACAGTGCTGTGAGATACAGTGTGAAGCGCTTGAGTTTAGCGAACAATACAAATGACTCGCTGATTTAAACTAGTTTAAAAGGCAGATGAAACAGTGCTGACAAACAGGAGAAACACTGTGTGAAACTATACAGTCAAAAAGCTTTTCAATCTATAAATCACCATCATTTACCATGCATTTACATAACACTAACTGCACTATATTTTTATTTGTATTTGTATGGAATTGTATTATATTATTAATGTAGACGTGTTAAATGTATTATAGGAGTAACGGAACATAATTGCTGTATTTTTGCGAATAAGCTATAGCATGTGTGCATTTAGCATGATACTAATATTATCAGGCAACACAAACCTTTTTCTTTATTTGAAACAATATCACATTCAGAACATGCATAAACTAAGAAATAAATTTTTCTACTAAGATATTTATTTTGTTAAGGAAAATGAATGGTCTGGTTTCTACAACTTTTACTTTGTAGCAAAAATCTGTCTTTAAACTTGAAAAAAATTAAGATTTGATATTTATCGTGAGAATTGTCGATATCGACTGATATGAAAAAACTATATATTGTGGTAATTTCTTTGGCCATATCACCCAGCCCTAGCGTGAACCCTTTAAAACATGCATACAATACTGTTCAAATGTTTTTAAATGTTTTTAAAATAATTATTGTGCTCACCAAGACAGCAGATATTAGCTAAAAATATAGTAAAAAATTATATTTTGAAATATTATTATAATAATTTAAAATAATTATTTTTAATGTATTTTAAAATGTAATTTATTCTTGTGATGGCAAAGCTGAATTTTCAGCAGTCATTATTCCAGTATTCAGTGTCACATGATCTTTCAGAAATCATTCTAATTGGCTGATTTACTGATTAAAGGGGTCATATGTTGCTGCTAAAAATAACATTATTTTGTGTATTTGGTGTAATGAAATGTGTTTATGCGGTTTAAGGTAAAAAAAAAAAACATTATTTTCCACATACTGTACATTACTGTTTCTCCTCTATGCCTCGCCTTTCTGAAACGCATCGATTTTTACAAAGCTCATCGGTCTGAAAAAGCGAGGTGTGCTCTGATTGGCCAGCTATTCAGTGCGTTGTGATTGGCCGAATTCCTCAAGTGTGTGACGGAAATGTTACGTCCCTTACCATATTGTGATGCCTGCGGCAACCACATGTGACGACCCCGGGCTGGACTCCGCTTTGTCCACGGCGAAAGCCGATCCGGCGATTGACAGCGCGAAGTTGAAGTATTTCCTCAGCGACCAGCACGGATCAGCTCCAGGCATGACGAGGCGATATCGTCCTCTTTTGGAAGGCCAAACAAAGTAGTTTCGCTTTCACAACGAAGCACACAGCGCCTTCACGACATGTCGGCGGCGGCAACAATACTACAGCCAGAATAAAAGTTATGCCTTCTTTCTTTGCGTGAACATTTGGGCGGTGTTATGCAAATCTTCCCAGACAGTGACGTAGGTATGTGGGGGCGTGTTAGAACGAGCCGTTTTAGGTAGGTGTGGCTGACTCTTAACTTTTATAAAGAATATCTCTTTGGATTTGAGACTTTAGTCTTTGCAACTTTACAGATCTTCTTTATGCACCAAGAGCTTGTAACACTCCAAAGACAAAGGAAAAATTGAAATCGTATCATATGACCCCTTTAAGAAGCATTTCTTATTATTATCAACATTAGAAACAGTTAGCATTTTTGTTCAAACTGACTCCAAACACTCACAACTGACTACAAACTGACTACAAACATTAAACAGTAGTGTGAGTGTATATATATATATATATATATATATATATATATACACAGTATATCTGTCAACAGTTTGGAGGCACATACAATCTCTGAGAATCTTATGCTGATAATACATATGAAAGATGCCATTAGCCTGGCATTACAAATAGTATGCTAGTGTATCTGATGTCGAATACACTCTAATGGAGCAATTTACAGAATCCGCTATTAAAAGCTCCCAAACTGGGGCTCCGGTCTCCCGCAGATGTCCCCACTGGGCTTAGCGACGGCTTTCTAATTTCTCACTGTAGCTTAACTAAGACTGGAGTCCAAAGAGCACATAAAGACCCCAGCTGCTAACAAGATGTTTCCCTCTCTACTGTTTAATTACACATCTAACAAACAATTAATGAGATCAATAAAGGGGGTGATGTGAAAACTGCCACTAGAGCTCAGAGTAGGGAAAGAAAGAAAGAAAGAAAGAAAGAAAGAAAGAAAGAAAGAAAGAAAGAAAGCGATAACATTTAAAGTGACACTAACGGGCCTTTCTTGAGGCTAAAGATGCTTTAATAGATCTCGCAAGCTGCTGAATAATTTGAGGTCAGTTCTCTAGAGAGCAATGTGTAGCAATTTAGCCGTGAGCCTATCTAGCCTTCACAGGTTTTAAGTGGCTGATAACGGGATCCATTTGTATGTGTATGTGTGAGCGCGTGTGTGAAATTAAAGCAAAAAATGTTTGTCCTTTGAGCCACCTAAAATATCCCACTGTTCAAACAACTTGATTTGCACAACAGAAGAAGAGACCATCAACCCCTCCCCCCACACACACATACATTACTACTCTTTCCATCACTCTGTTTTCAGACTCTCGATTCCTCCTGCCAGATAACAATCATATTTGTTATTTTCTTGAACTCTCTATTTTTTTCTCTCCTCTTCACTGTAAAAAAGGTGTTGTCTTATTTTTTTTAACACTTAAATTACATTACACTGACTTTACAAACACGAGTTGAATCATGTATAACTTAAAACATTGCTTAACTTATTTTGATGAGTTAAAGTAATGTCATGACTTACTGATCATACCATTTTTTTTACAGTGCTGTTAGAGGTTGTTGTGTTCCCTATCTGTTGGTCACTTCGAGTTATTTCGTGACGACATAGGGGGTTTACTTGAGAGTCCCAATCCACTCTTACGTTAAGAGAAAACGCCAATTAAATTTGGCTAGTGGATTTTGCATGCCTGAGCCACTCCCTGTGCATACGGTTATAAATGGGTGACAGGTGCATCCACTCATTCAGATTTTTGCTTAGGAGCCGAGTGGGTGAATGATTTCTTCTCCACAAAGCCTTTTCATTCTGACTGGAAGAAAGAAGCTGTTCCTGGTTGGCGTTACGGCACAAACAGCGGTGTCCCTGTTGAATCAGAAATTCCTCTGGGTGCTTCAATTAACTCATCACAGACGGCTCGCGTCTTTTTAAAGATGCCGTTCCGTTTGTGTTCTCTTGGTTGCGGTCATTACCTGTCCCCCATGGATGGACACAATCGTTGTCTTCAGTGTCTGGGCATCCAACATGCTAAAGCTGCGTTCGTGGATGACTCATGTGTTCATTGTGAGCGTATGAGCATGGTTTCGCTGCGATCTCGCCTCTGTCTCCTCATGGGGACGAGAGCTGCATTCTCAGTCTCTACGGATCCCGGTTTCTCTGTCACGAGCAGAGGACCGCCGGCTAGAGCTCAGTGAGATTTTAGGATTACAGTGAGAGCTTCTCCGCCAGGTCCGTCCCTATGGACCTCTCACTCCTCCCGCAATCACTCTCGAGTGATTTTGCTGGCCCGGCTCGTGACGGTCCCAGCATTTCATTCGGTGCACCGCCAGAGAATCGGATGTCGACCGCAGCATCGGGGGATGGGCTATCATCCTCAGAGTATAAAGATTCGGCGGGGCTGCCTCCCTTGGGTGTTGCGGCCGCCGCCGAATTGGACCTCGAGTTGACGGCCATGCTTTGGCAGCCACGAGCATCGGGCTGGAGGTGAACACACCACTCAGTGCCGAGCCCTCACGGCTGGATGATTGGTTTCTCAGCGCGGGCACGGCTCACAAACGCGTCCTGCGCCGGTGCCTTTTTTCCCGGAGGTGCATGAGGAGCTGACGAAGTCGTGGATGGCACCATTTTTGGCCTGAAGCCGCTCGTCTGCCTCCTCCGTCCTCACTATCCTCGATGGTGGGGCGGCTAGGGGGTATTCACATCGCCACTTGGAGGAATCGTCCTCGTCTCCCGTCCAAAGCCTATAAACTGACAGCGGCTCTGACCGCCAAGGCTTACAGTGCTGCGGGCCATGCCACCACTGGCCTGCATGCCATGGCTATCCTACAGGTCCACCAAGCCAAGGCACTCCAAGAAATGCATGAGGGTAGTTCCTCTAGTTCAGACCACGGGAAGGCGATGTCCATGCTTATGGCCCAAGAGCGCCATCTTTGGCTCAACCTCGCTGAGATGAGAGATGTCGACAAAGTCCGCTTTCTTGACACTCCCATCTCGCAGGTTGGCTTTGCCCAGCAGTTTAGACTTTTTTAGGCTTTGCCCAGCAGTTCTTGGCAGTACAGAGACAGACTGAGGCCATCCAGCACATCTTGTGCCAGCGTGATCCTCCAGCTGCCACAGCTCTGCCGCGGGCCGTGCATCAGCCTGCTCGTCACTGAGGGCACCCCCCTGCATCCTCAAGAGTGCCTTCGCCCCGTACTGAGACACCGTCAAGGCCAGCGCATTGAGCCTCTCGGAGGACTACGGCACCCCCCGTGTCCCATCCGGCCCTAAGTCCTCTAAAAAGACAAAGCGGCCCTGACATGGGCAACCCGGAGATGTGTGAAGCTGCTTTTTTTTCAGGAGATGGCAAGGACAGCGCCACTCCTTCCCCCAGAGGGCCAGGTAGAGAATCTTTTTCAAAAAAAAGAGCTGTTTCCTTTTCCTCTGGGTTATCAGGCTTGTGGGTTGGCAGTGAGTGACGCGTTGCCTCTTCACTCTTGCCCCCGACGCCCCCTATCACCAGCAGCCAAGAGATCACGGCTCGGAGACTTGCTGCCTCTCCACATATCTCTGGCAAGTCCCTCCGGGGACAC